ATTGGTACTTTTTAGATATACATAATCATATTCATTGTAGGGAATTTGTACCTTTACATGACATATCTTGATTCTTCTTTTTTCCCCAATCCCCTATATCCTTTACCCCTCTTCCCTTCCTTATTTACAAAACTTTGTTTCTATTTCCCCTTCTATTCTCTATATTTTCTTTTTCCTTGCTTCCTTTCACCTTTCTCACTTATTCCCCTTCCCATTTGAACATTTTTTTCCTATTTCCAATATGTATTATACATTTTGATCCTTATTTAGCCTTTCAGTTTCTCATACCAGAGAAACAATGCTACCTTTACGCCTGTGTGTCTGATTTATTTCACTTAAGAGTATGGTCTCAAGGTGCATCCATTTACCTGGAAATATCTCAACTTTATCCTTCTTTATGGCTGAGTGGTATTCCATTGTATAAACATCCACATATTCTTTATCCATCCATCAATTGATAGGGATTTGGGCTGTTTCCAATATTTAGCTCTTACAAATTGTGCTGCTATAAACATATGTGTGCATATACCACTGTAGTATAATGGTTTTAATTCTTTCTGGATGATACTAAGAAGGGGAATAGCTGGTTCAAATGGAACCTCTAGTTTTAGTTTTTTGAGGAGACTCCATACTTATTTCCACAATGGTTGCGCTAGTTTACACTCCCACCAATAGTGGAGAAGGGTTTCTTTTTCCCCATAGCTCCTCCAGCATTCATTATTGGTTGATTTCTTGATAACAGCCATTCTTTCTGGAGTGAGATGGAATCTCAGTGTTATTTTAACTTGCATCTCTAGAATGACCAGTGATGTTGAACATTATTTCATATATTTATTTGCCATTTGTACTTCTTCATCTGAGAAGTTTCTATTCATTTCAAATTCCCATTTTGGGATTGAGTCTTTGGAGAGTGGGCTAATTTTTATCAGTTACATATTCTAGATATCAGGGGAACAGCTGGCAAAATTTTTTCCCACTCTGTTGGTTGATGCTTCACTCTGTTGGTGGTTTGTTTTGCTGTGCAAAAGCTTTGTAATAAGATGAGATCCAAGTTCTTGATTTTCATAATTTTTCCTGTGTGATTGGGGTTTTGTTTATAATGTCTTTGCTTACACCTATGCCTTTAAGAGTTCTACTTATTCTATCTTACAGCAGTAAATACAAATAATTGGTCTTGTATTTATCTGTGTCCATTTTCTTTTCACTTAAGATCTCTTGCACTCCAGGATATACATATGGGCTTTAAGAGACCCTCTTACTTAAATACACAAAAGTTACTGATGCATTCTCTCCAAGTACAACTTAGAGAAGTTGCCTACATATTTGAAACTAATTACAGGAAAATACAAACAAAAAAAGTGATAAGCTTTTAAACTTTCTGTTAAAACTGAAGCTTTTTGATTATTATTTTTACTATTTTTAAAGCTCCTTTAATTTGAGACACTTTGGCCTCAGTTTTACCCAAATGCTCTGTTATATGTGATTGAAATGCTTTTCATAGTTCTCTTTTTTTAAAAAAAAAAACCTCTATAAAATTATGAGCCCATACTATGCAGGAATGAAATCAGGCAAATCAAGACTAACACAAAGTAGCACTAAACTGGAATGTGTGACATGAATATATTGAAACAATACTAAAAGTTTGAGTATGCAGGTATGTTAGTAGATTGAAGAAAGCCATAACCAGAATTGTCATAAGAGAGCTAGAAACATATGAGAAAACATAATTTCAAAAACCTTTGCTATAGATAATCCACTGGCTGAACTGACCCATTATGATAGTTCACAGTGGATTTATGCACATTGTCACAAAGTTCAGGAGGGAATGAAAGAAAAAGACCTTAAACTATCCTAAAACTAATAGTATAGGTTTTACTTCCTACATTAAAGTATAGCACCCTTCTGGACTTTGATTTGAGAATGCCTTTTTTTGCTTTTTATGCACTTTCTTAGGCATAAGGGGATTGGAAGGAAAATGAATACTGTTTATTTAATAACTATTTTATACTGAAATGAAATATTCTAGTACTATCCAAATGTGCAAATTGGTACTAAGAAAAATATATTTATAATTACCATTTTAATGGTATAATAATATTTTCACTTGAAAATTTTGCCTACATTTCTAAAAGAACTTCTGAATGAGAGAAACAGAGTTGGAATCCTTGTTCTGCTGCAATTTATAATTAGGGAAATTTGTGCAATTCTATGTGAATAATACTCTCATTTTACAAAGATACTGAGCATGTTGTTCTAATAGACTTTCTGGTATGCCAAATGGCTGCTGATTACTCAATCAGTTTTATATTTAACTTATAAGTTGTAAAGTAAGACAATGGATTTTAAAATAAATTAATCTAAATGCTTTGAAAGACAAATGTAAAAATTGATAGAGATAGCACACATACATGTATTATTAGTTATGTACAATTATGTGTACAAATGAATAGATAGCACATATTTTAGACAGAAATAAAACCATGAATACAACATGTGGTGCAAATGTATTTATCAAAATATAGCTTATTCATCCTTCCTTGTCTTTCTCTTCACTCATTCCATCTTACAGATTGTAATTTCATTCTAAGAGGTGAAATTCAAGGCTTATGTGTAACTCTTTTGCTTTCCCTATATGATAATATAAAATCTTCCCATTTTGTCTTCTTTTGGAATCTTTGTAAACACACTAATATAAGAAACACATACACAAATACACATATACAGTTTCTAGATTATATAACAGATACGTCATTTATGATGGGATGATCAACAGAGAGCATTGTTAATTTCAACACTGACTCCAGAAGATTTTTTCTAGACAAAAAAAAGAACGTTTCTAGCTCTCTTATGACAATTCTGTTTATGCCTTTCTTCAACCTACTAACATACCTGCATATTCAAACTTTTAGTATTGCTTCAATATATTCATATCACATATTCCAGTTTAGTGCTATTTTGTGTTAGTCTTGATTTGCCTGATTTCATTCTTGCATAGTATAGGCTCATAATTTTATAGAGGTTTTTTTTTGAGAAAAAGAACTATGAAAATCATTTCAATCACATATAACAGAGTACTTGGGTAAAATTGATCCCTAAGTGTCTCTAATTAAAGGAGCTTTAAAAATAGTAAAAAGCTTAGGGGTCGGGAAAGCTAAGGAAATAAAATGCATTATTAGTTGTGGAATCGCAATGGAAAAGTACATATATGGAAGAAATACTGAAATGGGTACACAATTAGGAATTCTCTATATAATATACAAAGCTTAGTTTGTCTGCCTCAGTTCTCAGACCTTCAGTCTTCATAAGAATTGAGTCAATAATCTCTAGGAGGAGTGATTCTACAGCTAAATGGTTGTAAGGAAATAATCTCGGTATGAATTACTTTAAAGGTCAGCCTAAGCCCTACCACACACTTCCAGGTATGAAGTTCCACTAGACTTCAAGAAGTTAACTAGGTGATGACCAACAGCTACCCGATAATCTTATATAAGACGCTATACAAATACGCATTTAAAAAAATCAAGAGGTGTAATGAGCACATGCAGAAAACCAATCTGTAGCACTATAGATTAACTGAGGAATTATAACTTCTGGTAAATTATATTGTGGCAAAACTATATGGTTTACAAATTTCTAATATGAGAATAAACAGAAAGAATACTTCTCTGCTCAGTGTGAACACTGAGTACAAATAAAAATAGAATGCCAATGAAATGCAAGAAATATCAACACCCTGATTATTCATCTACTCCTAAGGTAAAATTAAAATGCTTTGGTTTAAAATAAAGTCATGCTCTCTTTTGGCTTCAAAATCACATACATTTATTTATTAATAATTTTTAAGCTTTACTTTTAGACAGGAGATTCACAATCTCCATAAATGGGAAAGGTGTGAACATGAAATTCAGATGTACATGAATAAACTTTGTGCTAATTAGCAGGAATGTTCAGGGAATAAATCTACTGGTCTTATTAAAATAGTATCATGGATTATTTTGTAAATTGCAAAAGACATCAACCTGTCAAACTAGTGAAGATAAAGAATGTGCATTAACTTGAACACAGTTTGGGTAAAGTCATACTAAGCCAACTAACATCAGTCAGTCAGTTTTGCCAAGCAAAGTACAAAAGAAATTCATATACCTAAAAGCAACAAGATCACAGGACAACGAAATTAGGAGATAGCTAATTGTCTGTATTCTCTAGCTGAACAAATGCTTAGTTTAAGCAATCAAAAGAGAGATAAAAAGAATGAGTTCTTTTGAATAGCAAAAATTTAGGAAAAAATTTTTTCCACAATTTTTCCTTCCATTAAATTTAAAAGTATTTTACACAAATGCAGACACCCTAGCTCTCATGCTGTATTCAAAGACAGTTTCCTCTAATATTGAAACATCTGACAAAGGCACATTTGGTCATTACAGACATAATATGTTAAATCTCCCTACAGAGACTGAAGACAAATATATCTTTCCAAAGTGACTGATTTACTATCAGGAAATGGTTTAAAAATTCAAAGTCAAATTCTAGTATATCTTTTCACTCTTTCTGAGTAAAGTTTTGGGGTATATAATAATGCAAAGCCAAGTAAAAGTGTTAAAACTGAAACCATTTATGGCATTTACTTTGACCCTTAGAAATGTCTCAGAAAATTTGGATATCTTTGGTATTGCAAGCTTCATTTGAGACATTTCACCATACTTAAGGATTATTAAATAGAATTTAATATTTTAATTGCAACTAAACATCTGTTTAGTTAAAATAATTATTCATATACAGTTTTTATTTTGGATTTTCCCATATAGTGGAATCCTTATTAAGAAACAAAGAACAATTGATATCACTTTTATAAGCTTATTCTAGTTAAGGTAAAACATGGTACAGAGCTAATAATCTTTAAAAATAAACTACAAATTAATATTATGAATTTGTGTGATGTTTCTTTTTTGTAACTTAATGTAAGGAATCCTGGCCAACTCTGAAGATTACAACATTCTTACCATCATCGTACTGGCCCAAGCAGACAGCAAAGAGAGAGCCAATGATGATCCATGAAACTAAAAATTTGCAGAGATAAAACTGTTGAAACATCTTCTGTCAAATTCCACTCAAGCTTGATCTGAAATAACAAGAGAAAGAAACATTTGACATGTTCATTAATCTGATAGGTAAATAAAACTGTCACAGCACAGAAAAGCCTTAATGACTTCATAGTTAATTACCTGTGCCACGCTATCCATTAACAAAGTAACACACTTGTTTAATGTATTGGAACCCTTTCTCAACATGAATTTGCAAACAAATAATCTCTAAGGAAAGACATCTTTTCTGTTATTTAATTTGAAAGCCTGTAGTTTGAGAAGTTAACATACTGATAACATTAGAAGCACATTTTCATTAAAATTGACTCTGTGGATGAATCAAATGTTAATCAGTTTAAGTTACTAAACTTGTCTAAAGCCTAATTCAATTATAAAATAAAAGTTGTGCCTCAAAAATTTAAGATAGTAAACCAGATACTAGCATCTTACATGAGAATATCAATGAAAATTTATCTCACACAATTAAGTAGAAAAACTCACCATTAAAATACTAATTTCTTTGTAGTAGAGCAATCAAAAATTGACTTAAGTATGCCAAGAAAAGTAAGGAAAAGCCATCAATTTTTACCACATCTGTCTTTAGAAACATTTAAATGAATTTTATTCAAATTCCTTTGTCTTGCTTTGCAACTTGCAAGATAAAAAAAATAAAATTGAATGAGAAATCAGCAGCCAGTTAACACACCAGAAAATCTATTAAAAAAATGATGTGCTCAATTTCTTTGTAAATTTAGAATATTATTCATACAGAATTACACAAAATACTCTCAATTATAGATTGCAACAGAACAGGGATTTGAACTCTTTCTCTGATTCAGAGGTTCCAAACTCAAATGACTACAGGGGATGTCAAACAAAGTAGAAGAATGAATTAGCCTAAAGGGACAATAGGAGGCTGTGATAAACTTTAGTGTGTAGGATTTGTCTAAAAAGACCAGCTGGTGATCAGATTCTGTCAATGGTTGTCATGTGGGAATAGAACCAGGATTGCCAGGTCTACTGATATTCTAGGAGAAGGCAGACATCCAAATTTTCATGGATTGCCCAGTGTTTAGATGATTGTGCAGTCCCCTTAATAAGAATAACCACTTTTGGCAGGTCATAATGGTGTCTGAGATCCTCCAGTTTCTATTTCGACCCAGAATTCTTCTTTCCACTAGACCAGTTGTGGATAAAGTTCATTAGAGGAAACAAAAGAACTATTTTATTCCTGTTTTTATTTAATGCTATTCCATCCATATTTATTTACA